CAGTAAGGGCCTATATCATAGGTCAGTGTCCTCCACCCAACAAAAACTCTGGTCATCATTTGTTCATCTCTGTGACAAGCAAGCACCCTCCATTATTGTTATTTTTTGCAAATCAAACAAACGTTGATTTGTGAATTCAGACATGTATGGAACAGATTACAAGAATACAACGTTATTATAGGCTTTTTTCTGTGTGAATTGTTATCATTTTCGGGTGGAGACATCCAACGTGTCTCATATATTCCTGTTTTTTTTTTTTAAAAAATAATAATGGTCAAATTTTTTCCACTGGGGATTGGAATCTCTTCCATTTCAATCTCATTCTGTCTTTGACATGTTACCACTCCTCTTATCTTCTTCATGTGCCCTTGTTCCTTATTATCTTATACAGTATCCCTGCCGCCCACGTGTCTTTTCCTTCTTTTTTATTTTTTTAACTAACCTGCGTTTGATAATATATCCAGAATATAGTTTTGTAGATATATGTGTGTGTGTGTGTGTGGGGAGAAAATGTTCATGAGAGTCACTTTTGATTTCCTAAGTTAAATGGGAGCCTTGCATGAATCGTTTTGCTTAATTATATATAATTTGTGATGCAAATTGAATTGCTCTCCTCTTAGTGTTTTTTTCTTTACTGATTTTTTTATAGACTAAGACGGACAATCTCAGTCACATCAAGTAATAGATCATTATTTGCATATTTTAGAAAGTCGTGATTGATGAACATGCAACTTTAACTTATTCAAGTGTTTCCGATTATACTGTGTCGTCTTCTTGATCAACTTAGGTGTTTGAATGGAAAAGTATATCAATTATAATTAACTCCAAAAGTAACGTGTTGAATATTCCAAAAGAAAATGAGACGTAACAATTACCAATTTATTATAGCTAAATATTTTCTTTAAACGATTATTCCGGTGAAATAAAAAAAAATTAAGCTTGATAGTAAAAGCAATAAAATTTTGGTCAGATGAGAGTTGGTTTTGATGGAAACGTGGTAACCACGATGGCAAAGCGAACAAGTTTTCATCATTATGTTTGGAATGTTATTAAAAGCAGTTCTTATTTTAGTAGTTTGTTGGGAAAAAAATGTTAACTAGACATGAAATAGAAAGCTAGGCAAATAATAATATTAATTTTTTAAAAATATTAATATAAAATCGACGGATATGTCAAAACAGTTAAGAATTTTATCAGAAAACACTAATTAAATCCGATAAAAATAGAAGTATGCAAATTATTAATGTATTTTCATAACAGAACTTTATCTTTATGATGCCCATCATTTAAGAAAGACTGATGGAAACCGGACCAAATATGATGATCATTGCACTGTGCTTGAAAACTACTGAAGGAAAGGACGAAACTAATCAAAACTGATTGGGTCCTGATGGCGGAGGGAGCTACTTTACAAGAGGCTATTAATTTTGCTTTTGAGAATGATGTGGATGAAGTGCAGTTTGAATCTGACGGAATAAAGTGCCTGTGGACTATTTGAACATTCAAAGTGACTCTCTCCTGTTGGAGATGTGCCACAATCCTTGAAAGTCTTCAGGCTTCAAGAAATATTATCAGGAACAATCATTCAGATGAATTCCCAGAGAGACTAGTTTAGTTGCGGATTGGATGGCTAGAGCTAGAACTTCTTTGAATGGGTATTGCCCAGAGATTTCATAGACGGTGTTATTGTTTTTGACTACTTCTGGTCTTAATTATAAGATCTCGTTTATAGATTATAAACAGGATCTTATAATTATGACTGGAAGTAGTACTTTTTATAAGCCGAATAGGAGGAACGTTTAGACATGGGAGAGAAACAATGATTGCCAGCTGTAGTGAAAATGATAAGAGGCAGCAGTAATAGTGTATGATGTCTATGCATTGTGAAATGTAATGCAAACTGCACAACACATACACAACACAAACAGAGAAGTGGTTTATATTGGAGATGGAACATGCCTCCACATAAAAACATACGCAGTGTATGCATGATAAGGGGGCATAGAGATACAAGCTCAGCTCTCGCTGCTGGTTGGCCCATGTCTGCATAGACAAATTCACAACTTTACTCGTAATACATACGAAATCCAACATACACATACTACCTCCGGTCCTAATTATAAGACCCAGTTGACTAATTTGAGGAGATTAAGGAAAGAAGTTAAGTTAGTTATTTGTAATAAATAGGTGTTGTCTTTCCTAAAATATCCATATTAATCAACTATATTGGTTAGAACTACAATTATTAGAATGACTATCTTGGAAAAAATGCGCAAATATAAGAGACAAAGTAGATTGAGGTCTTATATTTAGGACCAAAATAAAAATCAAACAGGGTCTTATATTAAGGACCGGAGGTAATACATATTTACATACACACATATGGGTGACATGTTGCTGCTTGGTTGTCCCTTGTTGTGGCCTTGTTATTATTCCCACCAAAATATTATTTCAACAGTTTAGACAAGCTGTCCTAGTTAATCCTCACATTATTCTACTCCTCTCTCCTCACTATTTTTTTTTTTTTAAAATTTCAATGATTCTCCCTCAAAATTTTGTCTTCTTATTTTCTTAATTTTTCTCATCTTTCATTGCCTCAGCGCACATCACGTGTCAGCTTCCCTGGGGCCTACTCAAATTTATTTAAAAGTAAAAATTGAGGCTGTCAATCCATTAAACTGTAAACATTCCATTATTATTATTATTATTATTTACTGGACTTGCCAAATGCGCGTTTATTGGTTTTTTGGGCTATCAATTGCAAATACTTTAGGCCTAAATTTCGAACTTGGATTATTGGGCCTGGCGCTGAAAATGATTATGACGGATGAAGACCATCTCTTGGTTGGGTTTTACTTCTTTTATTTGTTTATGTAATATCTCTCATCTTTAAAAAGAATTTCTTTGACTTTTATAATTAGAACCGGAAGCACTGTCTATTTCTACAAATAACTAACATAACTAATTTTTTTAATATACTCAAATTAGTCAAGTTGTTCTTATATTAAGGACAGGAGGTAGTATTATGTAATTATTTTCAGTTTTTCCTTTTATGTAGTGTCTTACAAATTTATACTTTGACCACTTTCCTTTAATCAGTGTATTCCATCTAACAAGAGTATTATAGGAAACAAGTGGTATATTTTTCTTTGGTGAACAAGGAAACAAGTAATAATTATACTCCGAAATCTAAAATAGGATGTATATTTAGGGCAAAAAAGTGAAAATCCAAATCAGAACAAATAAATAGAAACAAACGAAGTAATACTTAAAATGTGATTTGCGCTTGGATTAAGGAATTGAAGGGCTCACAACCAGGTTTTAATACGAAAGTGAAAGAATGAATTTTACTGTCTCAGTAAGTTTAGGGCATTATTGATTAACATTTGGATTGAATTAACATGTGCCTCACAACACTCAGTAAATTCCAAAACTCATCATTATTACTAAATCACAGTCTCCAACAGATACCAAGAAAATTTTTTGATGATCCAAATCATAAACTGCCAAATACAAATCACCATCGCAAGGAGAAGTTGCAAACAAAATTAGTGCATGAAGACAAGTCATGTTGGCACTAAAATCTTTTCATGCTCTTCAAATCTTCTAACCCAACTCTTATAAATTGCAAATAAAAGCAAAGCAATAGCAATCGCACCCAGCAAAATAATGTACCTTCCTCCATTATCAGACCTACCATCAGAAACTCTTTCCTCTGCATTGCAAACATGCTTTGCGTCTTCCTCCTTCACCTCTTCGTCTTTCTCCAGAGAATCACATGACAGACGAGGCAAAGAGGATGATGATGATGGTGGTGAATCAGTTTCAGCCTCGGAATAATCAAAAGACAAGGACCTCACTTCACTCTCTTGACCCATATCATCACCATTCAACACGTCAGTGAGAATTGTTGTTCCTCTCTGTATTGGCTCAAAAAGTCGCCGGCCCTTCAGCTTTCCGGTCTCAATGGCTTCCCTTCGCTCTCGGAGGATTTCTTGCACCGCCATGTCTCTGGTCCTGAGCTTCCATGGCGGCTGTTGAAGCATGGACATGAGGTCTGCTGGAGATGTGTTCATTAACTGAATAGCTTTCTGTAGGGAAATGGTGGTGTTTGAATTTGTGGAATCTGTCGGTGAACAAGTTGTGGAGATGGATTGCTTAAAGGAGTCGCAGCGTTGTTGGGAATTATTGTAAAGTGGGTATTGTTTTCCATGTCTTTCTTTTCCTTGGAAGCTTTCCATTGCGGGGACGCCTTCCTTCCTTCCTTTCTCCTTTTTTCCACTTCATCTCATCATGGTGTGGGGTTTTTGGAAGGATGAGCCAATGAACAGAGATTCCTGTTTTAGTTTTGAATTATAGCGAGGATCTAGTGGGATAACAAGCTATCATATTTAAATATTTTCAAAAAATGCTGGTTTCTTTGTTAGTTTGGATCATAAGAATATTTTACTTACTGATATACTACTTCTAATTTTTAATTTTTAATGTAAAACCTAATTTACTAATTTGAAAAAATTAAAAAAGTTATTAAATTACTTTAAAATATTTATATTTTTCGTTTTTCTCCAAACTAGTTTGCCTTATTTATAAATTGATATATAATCTAATGATATACAATTGTATATAAACATTTTAGAAAAACCATGTAAGATATTATAATTAACTAATCTAATACATCCTCAAATTAATCAACTAGATTTTATGAATATAGTAATCATTATGACTGTCTGCATCGCCTTTGCTTTATATTTTGTGATCACCATCCAATCGGGTCAAAGGGATTGTGTTCTTCCCTCATTTCTTTAAATTCACTTTAACAGACGATTTCGATGTATCCACCCACTGACCACATTATTATTTTTCACAACACATCGTATAGTGAATAGTTCTTTTTATTAAAATAGTCAAAGCATGTTCAAACACGGTCGGCCCTAATATTTTAACACATAACTAAGGAAAAAAAAAACAAACTTTCTCGGATTGGTTCAGTACATCTACGATTTTGGCTGGAGAGCCTTCGTAAGATACTCAAATCCAAATTGCTAAAAAGAAAATAGTCAAGGAAATCTACCATATGTATGTTCTCATTAATCATTACACTCAAAATCTAGGTGACGCGAGAAGAATATCAAAGAAGTTCAGCGCTCACCGATGATGCAGAAACAAGAAGCCCTGAGCTTAAATGAAAAGGCCAGGTGAATAAAGAGCTAACGATAAGGGTACACAGTACGAGATGATTAGCAAAATAATATCAGCTTGAGGGGTCAGTTTTGCCTATAGATCTGCTGAAAAAATTGTATGTATAATCTGGCACATTTCCCACATGGTTGTTCGTTTCAAATGGCCTCGGATGAATTCTTCCTTTGATACCATTCACATTCCAGCATTTGATTCTGAAATGTCCTCTATTATTCCCTTCCCATCCACAGCATCGAAAAAGAAAAAGTTCTTCAGAGGGTCTCCTTTTCCTGATATTGCTTTGATCACCTCCTATGAGGTCATAACACAGCTTAATCAGATTACTGTCCCAGGAGACAATAACACGGGTAAATGCATCATACTAAAATGTTATAAGGAATACCTGTCCAAGAATTCCTCCAATTATGGCACAAACAGGAGGAAATTCTGTTGTATTTGCTACCAATCTTTCTAGAAGACTGTCCGGCACGAGAGATTCATTGACAGACTGTTAACAAAATCAGCAATTTTAGATGAACACTAGACGCATAACAACATTAGCGTAACAAATTCCAGGAAGCCTACCTGTGCAGTGCATAGCTCCTTTTTCAGCTTGAGGACACCGGGAAGATCCGCAATTGAAACCTCTCCTGGCCTTCGTTCTCCAGCCTCTTCAAACTTCTCTATAACTGCCAGAGAAAATTAGATTTCTATGCTTCAATAATTGGAGAATACATGTCTCAGTTGAAAATGGAAAATACACAACCAACTTTTGAGGGCTAAGGAGTAAGCTCCCACATCAGAGGTAACAATAAATGGCAGAGCCTTGTACAAAAGTGTTCTTGAAAATAAATGCCTGGAGAAATAAACTAAGGGCATGTAAGCTATACGTTCTCTTCATCTATCTCTTTTCCGTCACAATTTTTTAGAACAAATCTCTAGTGTAAAACTGGGCAATTTGTCACACCTCTCATTGCAAAGTACAGCTTGGATGTCTTCCTTGGAAGTGCTTTCCATGGCACTGATACCGCATCCTAGGGCAGAAGATATAAAAATCAGACAAGCTTGTGAAGCATAAATGGCTATAACACATCATCAGAAGCAAAGCGAATTATATACACATAACACGTAGGCCCATAATGTGTTTTAGAACTCCCAGATTTTGAAAATTTTGAATTGAATTGCTCTGTTGTTTTAGCCATATTTGCTTGGGAAAAAAATATGTAAGGTCACTTGAAGCATAATGGAGGACAACTTTGCAGTTCATCATCAGGATAGTACTTGGTAGGCTCAAGTCCAAGACATACATAAACGGTTGATTATATAATACAAGGTCAAGAATAGCATGGATAATTAAGAAATTATGATCAACCAAGACATACCTCAAAAGACGGGTATTGTAGTTCGCATTCAACAGTTTCCTCCAGTTTTTTCTTGACAAGAAAAATGAGACACAAAAACATTAAAATCAAGAAATAAAAGTTCAGAACTGAGAAACATACAAAGCTAGATCTGAGAGAAACCTTTGAATATCGATAATCCTGCAGGTCAACAAATATTTCCCCACAAGAATCTCTACAGTCAACAGTATAAAAAGATACTTTCTTGGATAGCTTCCGGCACTTGTCATTAGCAAGTTTCTGCAGTGAAAACATAATGCAATAGATAAAAAACGAATCTAATAGATAAACAGATAACAACAGAGAAGCAGGTAGTGATTTATCACACGGTAAGTGGTTATGTGAAAATGAAGGCATAAATATATTGAGAAAGAATGGTTAACACCTTACCTTAGCAGCAAGTGAGCAACAACTGATTACTACAACATCAAACTTGTTGAAGAAATCAATACCAAAACTTGACAAATCACCTGTAGCCCAGGAAATAACAGAAAATGACAACCGGATACTCATGGAAAAAAATAAACGGAAGAAAAAATATGGAGGAGGAAAGTGAGAGTGCAAACCTTTCTCCACAGAAACACGAACCATGGGATTGAAATCTTTAAGTGAATCACAACAAAGCTCAGCAAGGGTTTTCCCTCTATATGCATTCTCATCAGGGGGAATGAGAAAATTGGAGGACAATGCCTCCTCGTTCGCTACTCGATCATCAACTAAGGTTAAACTACCAACTCCAGCTAAAACGATATTCTTGCAGAACTAAGCCACGAGAAAAAGAAGTAATAAAAATTGGGCGCTCCAACCAATTAGCCCCCAGAAAAGAGCTTCATTAAGAGCCTCTGCATTTCCAGTTTGAAATGCTTATAATATAACGAAAGTTGCAGGTTCAATTACCTCTGCTATAGTTCCTTTCATTCCATGAACCAGGACATGAGCTTTGCTGAGTCTAAAACAACAGAATCACAAACGGGAAGTCAAATTTACAAGGTCAGGGTCCATTCTGTACAACAGAGAGGGGAATCAAGCATAAACCAAAGAAAGAGATACAGAAAACTGAGGAGAAGAGCAAAGGTACCTCCTTTGAGCATCAGCACCCCATACCCTAATCTGCCGGTCATACAAAGCGGTCTCCTGCTCCGTCAGCTGCTCACCGTCCATTCCCAGTCGCAGCCTGTTACAACACTCCGAGGTTCACTTTCAAAAACTCCAGCGTCCAAGTCTGATTTGAGCACTTCGCTTGACCTTTGCCCCTCTTTCCCTTGGAATTGTACCGTTCTTTCTTTCTTTTAAGTTTTTTTTTTTGGTGATACGATCTGAGCGAGTCTTCAGTTTATACTAAGAATTAAGAATATGATGTTCAAGTCCTACATGGGCTGGTAATGGAGCCCAATGAAAGCCCAGAATACCTGGGCTTTATTAAGGGATCGAGATGATATCACGATATGCCAATGCCTATTACAAATGATCATTTAACTACTTTCGACGTCAGTGTCAGTGTCAGTGTCATTTTCCCCCCGACTTTTCAAGCACGAGAAACTACGGAGATATGGAACTGACAAGGTTACCCTATTCCCACGGAATCATTTTCTACTTATTATTTGATGAGTACTCTAAATTATAACCGTTTATATTTAATTTGAATAATTCATATTTAAAATTTTTCATTAATTCTTTTTAAATAAAAAAAATTATTTTTTGAAAAAATGATGGTTAAGAAATTATCTTTATTTTAGATTATGTAAATATTAAAATAATTATTTTAAATAAATAAAAATAAAAAAGAAATCAAATCTGGACCATCCAAATAAGATATGGATGATTCAGATTTAATGAGTTTAGAGTGTTCATCAAAATGATGAGTACTGAAACTAGTTTCTATTGCCCACTGCTATGAAGTTGCACGTACGTGATTTCATTTGAGTTATAAGTGTAACAACTCTACTTGCATCTTTCAATCATTATCAGATATTTTTGTAGCATTATTATCATATAAGGGTCCAGAGTTGGGTTTGAGAATTGAAACATTTCGGTGATATTAGCCGAGGAATGAAAAATCCAAACAAAACGGAACGTGAATGATAGAGACGCACGTAAAGGGGGAATGAACGTATGCAAGATGAGGAATGGACCGGGGGGAGGGTTCCATGTTGGGTAAGTGTGAACATGAAGGAAGAAGAAAGCAAAGAGATGGATGGCGAGAGGGAACTTGCATGCAAAACATGCGAATCGTGGCAATGGTGGTATTGTTCCGAAGCACGTGTGGCGACTTGGCTTCTTGGAGGGGGCGCAGCAGGCATCTCAGTCCTTCTCCATTGCTGTCATCTCCAACCATCCCCCCTACTACTAACAACAACAATAATGATAATCCAAACTTCCATTTGTTTCCCACAACAATAGATACGCGGGAATATGATCAGATCAGAGTGAAGTATACTACCAACCTGAGAGGCCTCCAACATAGTGATGCTCATGCCTCTGCAAGCCTATCTTCGTGTTCCTCTCCTCCGGTGATGCTGCATTTAACTTCTTTCTCACTTTTATGTAACCAAATGGATGCATGGATAGTATTTAACTGGGGACGCAGAGAGTCCAGTGAGTGGGCCGACTCTTTGTCTTTGGCATATCCCTTCGTATCTCAGTATCTCATCGCTCATATTTATTCATTCCTCGTTATTATACCGTGATTTGGAGGGCCGCCAATGATCATCAACCCATCAACCTGAGTGAAAGGCAATTTTTGTATACTTATTACCTATTTCGAATGACTTATAAGCAATTTTTTTTCATCGTGAAAAATGTTTTATCTTGACTTATATAAAACGTGTGATTTTAAATGTAATGGCAAACGGACCTTAATTAATCAGCCCCTGTTTATTAGGGAAGAGGCTGATTTTAATTAGAGAAGCTAGATTCTGCTTGCATCTCTTATGATCAATGGTACTTCGTAAAATTTGATGAACCTGACCCACGATCGTAAATGCAGCCATTAAGTTTTTGCTGTGGTGATGCATTCCATGGAATGGTCACGCTTCCTCACGTAACATCCAACCCCCATGATCAATGAATAACTATCATATTTTCTTAAGTATTAACTATTAGGATACGTTTTACTTCTAATCATATATACTCTATATTTCTCTTCATACTATTTATAAATCATTTTTCAATTTTCTTTAAAAAAATTTTAAACCTCATTAACTCTTTATTAAAATTTAACAATTTTTAAATTTTACATTTGTTTAATATATATATTTTCCAAAAAAATGCAATAAATAAAAGATAAAATAATATATTTATATTAAAAATTTGAGTTAGTACTATTTTTATTTAGTCTTTAAAATTTGATCTCATTTTGATTTTGATCCATTAAAATTTAATCCATTTTGGTTTATCTAAAGATTTTTGGTCTCTCTAGACTTCATATTTCAGATATCAAAATCAAAATGAGGTTAAATTTTAAGAATTAATATTGCTAGTTTCAAGTTTAGGAACCAACATTAAAATAAAATCAAGTTTTAGAAACTAAAAATACCATCAACACTAAAAAATTAATAATGTAAAACTTGTTTGACAAAAAAAAAATCCCGTTTCTGGTAATATGAAAAAGAAAGGAAAGGGTAGTAAAATTTTTGGACCAGAGCAAAATGGGGAGATTGGGGGGAAAAAATACACGTGGCAGAGGATGAGAAGAGAGAGGGAGAGTCATTGCCACTTACAATGGCAATGCCATGGGGTATACTACAGCTGCTACACTGACTTGGCGGGGTTGTTGCAGATTTAATATCTGTGCGCTCTTTCCTTCATCTTTCCCACTTTACCCCTGCATTCCCTTTTTGTCCTCACCGATACCCCAACCCCTGACCCCTGATGTCGCTTATGGTTCCCACTTCGTCCCTCATGCCTTCAATATTTTTACTACTGATTATTAGGATAGTCCACGGTCAAGAACCAGATACCAACATTAATGTTAATTTATACTCTTTCACGTTCTATTTATAAATCATTTTTAATATATTTTATATAAATTTAAAAAATTTTAAACTTTATTAATTTTAACTTAAAATTCAACAAGTTTTCAATTTATCCCTATTCAATATATATTATATTTCAAATAAATAAAATCAACATAATAATAAATAAAAGATAAAATTGTATATTTATAAAAAAAAAATTTCTCAATACCTTATAAATATAATAAAAAAATCTTCTGTTTCTGCTCTATAACTAGGACCAGAGGAATACACAAAAAATAATAATGATGATTAGTTCAGGCCAAAATAAGGGTTAACGCCATAAAAAAAAATCTAAAAAATACTTCTTTAAATTAAAATTTATATTAAAATACTTCTATTTACTAATTTGTCTTTATAATACTAAATTCCTAGATTTTACCTAAATTTTTTTTGAAGAATTTAAACCTTTGCCTTTTCGTTAATTTTATTTTTTATTTTAGCAAATAATTATTTGCTTAATATTTTTATCATATTGGATAGAAAATTACATAATTTAATTAATGTGAACATGAAAATTTTGAATGGAAATTTGATTAATTATTTAAATAAATATATAATTGGCTAAATAAGTTACAAATGTTTCAAACAAATTTTTTATTTAAAAATTTTAAATTTAAATTTAAATAATTTATATAATCTCTCAAACTTAGTAATATAACTAAAAATTAAAATTATAAAATTTTATAATATTATGAAATTAATAAATTTGATTACATTAGTGTTTAAATAACTTTTATATTAAAGAGAGATATTTTGATTAAAGTAAAGATGTAAAAGTTAAACTTAATAATAAACTAACGGTTAAATGTGTAGAAATAAAATCTTAAATATATAAAAGATGTTTGTATAACATACATTTTAATTTCATGATAGGTTATATACATTTTCAAAATCAAAAAAAATGTTTCTGTAATTTAGGTAAAATAAGGGGCATTAGTATATTTTACTCTTTAAATTTTTTATTTCACAACAAAATTTAATTACCTAACCACCTAATTTTGACAAAGTAGTTAAAGGTATGTTATAATAGCCAAAAAAAAAGTATCGTTTCTTTTTGCATGCTCCTCCGGTCTTAAGGGAGAGCGTATTGTTTTTTTTTTAATCTTATTTGTAAAACACATAATTAAATTTTTCACAAAGATGTATTATTTTACCATTCATTTATTACGATATATTGATGTAGATGTTATTTTGTTGAAAAGTATATATAAGTAAACTTGAAAAGTTGTAATATTTTTCAACAAACAATAAGATTCAAAATTTATCTTAATTTGGATAAACCATATTAGAAATGATGCATAAATAAAATCAAAACATATTAGAAATTGATCTTAATTTTGAGGTGTACTGTGGTGATGATTAAGAGTTCGAACCCGGATGATAAGACTACACGAAAGAAAAGAAAGAAGTGATTTGAGCCAAATTAAACTGATAGAATTGGTTTATTTAAATAGCTAAAAATAATAGGCTGGAGTGATTTAAAAAATGCCTATTTTAATGCATGAGGAAAGAGAGGATTAATTTTAATAAATTCAATTTAAAAAATTGAATAAGTAATATTAAAAAAATTTAATTAATTTTTCTTATTCTTTTATCTTACATTTTTTTTAATTAAAATTTTGTAATCTCACTTCTTGAATTTTAAAAATCAAACTCATTAAATTTTTCTTCTCCTCTTTTTTTCTTATACCAAGAGAAAAACAGCAAGCAAATCCTTAAATGAAAATCTCATGAATATTCAAATCAAACCTGAAAAACGCTAATAATGAATCACTAAAACCATCATTGCAAAATTGATTTAAAAGAAAGAAAACAAGAAGAAGTAAATAGGCAATAAGAGTATATAAGAAGATGCATGGGGAGGGGGACGAAGAGGACCCCATTATTTGCAATGAGCCCTGAAAATGAAATCATGAAATTAGATGATCATCATGCATGCATCATCTCATTCCTGCCTTGCCTTCAATTGGCAAGCCATCTCATCTCTGGAGCCCAGCCATTTATGTGCGTGCTTCCTTAGTCTTTTTATTTCCCAACTTTGAATTTATATGTTTTTCCTACATTCATATACACATATATTATAATCTGTAATTTATATAAAATCATATTATTTATAGGCTATTAATAGTGTCATGTATATCAAACGACGTACAATGTTCAAGCCGACATCTTAAAAAAGTGTTTGGAAGAAAGCCAAACAATAATTTTAAAAATAAATTTACAGCATACAAAACAAGTATGTGATGAGAGTTTTGTCTTCATTTATGTGAAAATACTTTTTAAAAGTGTTTTTTGTGATTACCAAATACTTTTTAATTAAGTCTGAGATAGATTCAAACCTCCTCTTTTTCTTCAACCCTTAAAAATTTGTCATGAGTATTTTATATTTATACAAATAACAGCAATATGCTAAAGTACGCATTCGATTCTTTACTTCAAATTTTAATTTAGCAAGCAAATTTTTAATTTCTTAATCTCAATATTATCAATCTCACTTAACGAAACTGAAAACATAGTAATAAAGCGGTAAATGTAAAACGAGACCTTTTTTGCGGTGGGTGGATGCACATCTTTTCAAATGCACAAGCTTCATAAGTAGAAAAGATCCAACTGGTTTGTGCTGCATCAAATAGGTAAATAGGAATCTTAGCCATTTTAAAAGGATGAAACATAACATTAATAGTTTCAAAATCAAAGGCAAAGGCCCACCACACCAACATTAATCATCATCGGCCTCGTCATCATCATCGTAACATTTGGATTCCTCATTCAAATTTTCATGCCTTTAATCCCCACCCTCTCTTTCAAACCTCATGTGGGGTCCCACCTTCATAAATGTCACTTCAATTTTGTGTTCCCATTTCAATCGTTTGTCTTTTTTTTTTTGTTTCTCTCCTTCCTTCTCGGTTGGAAAATTATGCTACTTCAAACATGATAAAAACATTTTTTCCCCCCTTCTCTTCGCTCTTATTTTTCTCAAAAAAGATAATGTGAGCTTTGTTTCAAAGTTCGCTATGATTATAGGGAAATTTAGAGTTCAAAAAGTACATACAAATACATTTATAAATTAGTCACTCATAAAGTGTTCACATTAGATGTTATGAAAAAAGGGGTGTTCACACTTGACTTTAACACGTGTCCTCGCGGTAATAAGATGTTTAGTTACATATAATAATCAATAATCAACTTATATGGACTAAAATTACTCGAAAAGTATGCTATGAGCATTAAACTTCATATAATATACTAGAAGAGTGATACTGATAGCAGTGCAAAATAGGTTTTATATGAGAAAACAACACCAACTAAAAAATGGGTCTTATTGTAATACTTATTATACGATAAGATTTTTATAGTATAAAATGAGTCTTATATTTAGAATTAAAGGAGTATATTAGAATGGTATTTGAACAATAAAATAACAATTAAAAACAACACCAATTTGTATAAAAAAGAAAACAACACCAACTAATTATAATTTTGCGGATGACTTAGATAAATGCGTGAAACTTGAAATTATAACACCCTATTTAAGCTGAAAAAAAACGTTTGAATATCAACGTTATAGGTATAATTATTAAGACTTAAGAGCACATTTGCCAAAGAAAAGACATGCTATGAAATGGGAAACACAATGCCACATGCTTTGTGTTGAGCATCCATTCTTGTACTTTTTTTCTTCCCTTTTATTTTTTTCCAATAAAAAAATTTATCCTGACTCGTAAAAAGTTGAAAGCTACAAACAGCCTGTCCTTATTATATATCATCCTCCTTTCCTATCCTTAGCCACAAGGTACTATACATACTCAGAAGAGAGAGAGAGAGAGAAGCCCTAAATATGGGAAGCCAGAAAAATATTATATAATATTTAGCTGAACTTGCAAAAACAGAGTACGTCCATTAGTCTTTCCTTCTTTCTCCCCAGAAGCCTCAAAATTCAATAACCATCCTCTCTGTCTGCACAAACCCACGATTCCTTCTCCCCAAAGGACTCGCAGGTATGATTTTTATTTTACTCTTTAAATTTTTTTGGGATTGCCCCTCAACACACTGTCCAATCTTCATCCTTTTTTTCTTTTTGTTGACAAGAAATTACTATTTATCATTTTGACCGTCTACTCTATTGGTTGGTGTACTCTAACGGAATCAATGTCAGGCAACAAGTGGGTGGTGAAAGGAACAACTAACAAGCTGTGATTGTCTGCAAGTACTCTCTTTCTCCCCTCTCTGTATTACTATTTATTCTTTAGCTCTTGCTTGCTTCTTGTATCTCGTTGGCGAGCTTCTCATTTTTGGATTGTTGCTTCTAGTTTTCTAGGCGCTCTGCTGCTGCAACTACTACTACACGCTGCTTGGTACTTTTTAGTTAGCCATTCATTAATGCATATAACGTTTTTGATGTAGATTTCTCCCTTTTTGTTTTTCTAAGTACGGACACCGAAGTGTCCAATGTGTTTTGTAACTAAAACTACTCTTTTGGCTTTTTAGTTTTTGGCATATGCCATGTTCTGCATAATTTCCTCCTCTCTTTAACTTTCTGCTCATGCTGAATTGGAGTTTTACTGGTTAATTTCATTCTTCACTGCTTGATTTTCTTTGGGTTTCATTCGTCTGTGAAGCTTCATAGGGGAGCGTTATGGAGTGGAATATGAAAGCAGCGTCGTGGGATTTGGCTGAATTAGATGAAGCAGCAGGCTTACCCAGCATAGAAACAATTGATGGGTCAAGCAGATTTGGGAGTGATAGAAGTAAAGGGGAATTTTCCGTGGATTTGAAGCTTGGTCATGTGGGGAATTCTAGTAATGAACCAGCACTTGCCAAATGGAAAGATGTTGCAGGAGTCTCCAAAGTGATGACATCTTCTTCATCGTCTCCTTCAGGATCATCTAAGAGAGCTCGAGCAATTAACAATGGAACCCAGAATGTGTCATGCCTTGTCGACGGGTGCAATTCAGATCTTAGTAATTGTAGGGACTATCACCGGCGCCATAAGGTCTGCGAACTGCATTCTAAGACTCCAGTGGTCACAATTGGTGGTCACAAGCAAAGGTTCTGTCAACAGTGTAGCAGGTGCCGTATAATATATATTATGCTTCAAGTTTGTGACACAAAATTGTTGATTACTCCTTCTTGATTCCTTTATAAATATGTACTTTTTTTGTTCATTTGTAGCTTCACTAACACTCCTTCTGTCTCATACACGCCTTCAGATAAATCCTCCAGGAAATTAAAGCACCTTAGCTAAAATGCTCTCTTTTGCTTTGTGCTACCATGAGCATCTTTACTTCATGCTCAAACAACACACAATGCTTTCAGTCTTGACTTTTGACCTGAAAGCAGATATCCCTTCTCACTTTTGCTGATAACAAGTGTTTGCTGACAGATAACACAATATCGACTGAATACCTCATCTGCTCCCCTAAAAATTATAGCTTTATAATGAAGTTGTAACTGTGTTATGTTCCTGATTACGTGGGTGAATATGTGTGGCTTCGTGTGTGCAGGTTTCATTCGCTGGAGGAATTTGATGAAGGGAAGAGAAGTTGCAGGAAACGCTTAGATGGACACAACCGACGGAGGAGGAAGCCGCAGGCAGAAGGAGTTGGGAGATCTGGAAGCTTTTTGTCCAATTACCAAGGTTAGCTTTGTGCATTATATGTGTGTGGACCCATATATAGCTTGATTTGGAGCATGCAGCGGCCAAAGATCCCCACATAGATACAGAAATCTTAGTAGTAAGAATTTCCTCTGAGAACTATGCATTTTGGCTCTCTCAGTGCGCTGCCAACATCCTTGATTTGGACATTTGGTCCACTGATGTTCACAGCTCATGGCAATCTAGTGGCCACTCGGTTATAAGTACTCACATGTTCTAAACTCCTTGTCTCAGGTGTAGATGAGAAGCTTAAAAAGATCTTCTCTTGCCACCAGCCTGGAAGGAATTTCTTCCTTATTTCCCCCAATTTTACCATAAATTACCTGTTTTAAGACACCCAATAAAACTACCCCAAATTTACCATAAATTACTTGTTTTAAGACACCCAATAAAACTAAGTCTTACCTAGTGAAAGTAGTTGGTGATGATACTTAGCATTAAAAACCATACTTGTCAGCTATTATGAGTTGAGTTGCACTATACACCATTTGTGATTAGTGTGATTTTCTGGGCTTTTTATATTTTATATTAATATGGATGGGACGTAAATTTTCTTCATTTAGGAGGTGAAACTAGTGGTGTGTATTTAGGAGTCTGATGTGTCCATTTCTCAGCCGAATATTAGACATTTCATGCTATTCTCTATCTCTCTTGAAAGTGTGCGAGAGTCTCTGGCCGCACAACACATGATTTGCATCTGAGGCCCTGGGTTATTGTGTTTATTGTTTTCTGTATCTTTTTTCCTAAATATAATACGCTACTATATTGTCAATGTAAGTGTGATTGATGACTGATTTGATAATCAAGGCAAGCATGAATAATGGACCTAAATATCACACGCCAGACCACAATAGTTAAACCAAATTTGATTTTTCAAGTGAGCAAATAAAAAAACAACTTTAGAATTTGACACATGATGAAATGTATGGCAAAGTTATTTAATTTATTGCAGAAGAAAGTGACAGTTTAAAAAAATGACTATGACTTTTCAGGCGCCCACTTGTTGCCCTTCTCAAGCTCACACGTGTATCCTTCCACTGCCATGGCTCACCCTGCTTGGAATGCAGATGTCAGGCTCCACCAAAACCCTCATCATCATCATCACCACCAACACCAACACCAGCAACTCCATCAGCTGGTTGATCATAAACAGGACCTCTTTCTGGGAGCTTCATCGTCATCATCCTCCTATGCAGAAGGGAATAATAACAACAACATTAATGTTAGCAAACATCAGTTAGCATTCTTGCAAGGTGATGACTCGACAGCATTGGAGAACAACCAGAGTAACAATCATCAGCAAGCTCTCCCGCCGCATGGTTCTGTGTGCCAAACGTTTCTGAGAGCCACGCCGTTACCGCCGGCAGCTCCACTTGCCGGCGAGCACCCTGATTCTCACTGTGCTCTCTCTCTTCTGTCATCCCCACAGACGCACACAAGTGGGAGTGGTTTGAGCCAAATGGTGCAGTCTCATCAACAAGCCATGTCGATTATGCAGCAGCAACACCAGCCCTTGGGACTGAGCCTGCATGATCATGGTCTGGAGACGGTGGACCCGGTGTTGGTTCACCATGGGAGTGACGAGTGTCCGACTATGTATAACATGAATGAGGCCCCTCCATTTCCTTTTCAGTGGGGATAGAGAGAGATTCTTTTCCTGAGGATTGATTCCTCTTGTGGCTCCAAAAGGGTTATTCTATAGAACGGCAATCACGAACTATTTGATTGTTGCTTTTTTCATTTTATCAAGAGAAGGAATTAATGATTTATGTATCCTCATACTATTCGAGGATGATGCAGAAGAACAAGCCAAAAGTTCAAAAGTATCTACATAGCTATGTATCATTTCGAAGGGCGAGAATTTATTCTAAACAAAATATTTTAAATGCCGTTTTACCTAGTGTTGTTTACCTAGTGTTGTGAGATTTTTAAAGAGCTTTTAGTTTTTATTAATCTACAATGTTACATGATTGATCTTTTTTTTTGGTCAAAGTTTTACGTTTTTTAACAAAGATGAAAAATCCTAGTATATGTCGCGGTTAGGGAAGAGAATTTAATTTGATTGAGTTATTCGAATATTGTTAATTTTGTTTTTATTATATATCACTTCAATGATTTTTTGGAGCCAAATATCACTTTAATAATATTGGCATAATCCGTGAATTCTCAAATAATCTTTTTTTGATTATGCAGATAATAGTTTTAAATTTTTGATGCTATATAAATAAAGTCAAGAGACAATGTTTTAATTAATTAGGTCACTTAAATTTTTTTTTTTTATTTTTATTTAAAATAAAAATTATAACTGTTTTAAAAAAATAAAAACAATAATGGTGTAAGATTTAATTTCAATAATGAAATCACTATTTGATAAGATATTGTCCTAAAACAATTTTTCACCCAATCATTATTTGGATTTAATGACAAATTCACAATCTGATTTGAGGTACAACTGTACAAGTGAAGAAAGAAACAGAGAAATAAAAAATATTAGATAGAGAATCCACAATTAAATTATGTCCTTAAAACTTTTTAGAGAATATTTATCATAAAACTGCTAACTTCTTATAACTAATTCCCACATATTTTTTTTAATCATTTTGCATTTATCTTATTATCTCATTCTTGCATTTTTCGTATTATTTGTTTTATCATTTCTCTTATTTATTCCTTGCATTTCTTTCGTATGTTTTTATTCTTTACATTTAAGTTGTGTTTGGTAGGAAGTATTGAAAAAAAATAAGGGATTGAAATGGGATTGAAATTGAGAAAATTTATTAAGAGAGTATTTAATATAAATGATTGCTTGTTATATGGGATTAACCAAACCCATATATGTAGGATTGGAGAATATTACGGGAGAAAGTGGTATTCTCTAATCCCATCTATATGGGTTTGCCTAATCCCATATACAAAGCAATTACTCATGTTAAATACTATTTTAATGATTTTTTTTCAATTGCAATCACAATCATAATCCCTTATTTTCAATGTTTCATACCAAACAGGACCTTAAAGCTCTCTTATTGGAAGAGCATTGATGCCACTATCAAATATCTTCAAAATTAATATAAAAACTAGATTTTGCAATAAAGCACAACCTAAATCATCTCTCAATAGACTTATAAGTTAACTAATTAAATTAAGAAATTAAATAAAAAATAAGAAAATAAAATATTTAAAATGGGTTAAAATGGCGTTTTCAAATTAGAATTTAAAACATTGATTAACTAAGAAAACTAAATAATCAAAAGAGCAACTTACCTACTAACAAAAATTTATGATGAAAATGTAATTAACTACAAGTTTTTCGTCTATAATTTGAGAGTGTCTTAGTTTAATACTTCTATTGTTGCAATGAAAGGGAAGTGAAATTCTAATTTGAAGAGGCAAAAAGAGGTGAAATCCTATTCTGATACACTTGATGTAACAAGAAAATAGTGAAATAATGTATTGATCCCACTTAATGCAGGACAAAAAAAAAGAAGGAGAAAAAAAAGAGATATAGAGAGATTAGAAAGAAGGAAGAAGGAAGAGAAAGCAACATGGAAGTGAAAGCCTATTCAATAAAATTAGCAAAGAAGCAATATTAGGTGAGTTTTTGTAGAGTCATTGCTTTAGCTATTTATGACATGATCATCTTTCCTTCATCGGTGGGAATAATTGACCTTAGAGCTATATGTGTCTATCAATCGGTAGAATATCACCAGGTCAATCCGATACTTGAAATTTTAGCTAAGACTTATATGTCACTAACCTGGTGTCATTGAGAAGGATAACCGGATAAAAACTACTACTTTACATTATTTGATATATGGATGTTGAGTTATTTATACGACAAGGAACTATACCTTAGGAAAAGGTATGATAGTCACAGTAATCCACTTGCGAAGTTTGAGTATCTCTACTTTGTCGATAAAATGGATAAGGTAGATAAGAATGATTAGAAGATTTTTTTACAATTATCAGAAGACTCCCTCTTCGAGAAAATAGAATGGTGAGAAAACAAAGACATTATCTATTGTGTTAGAGACTTTCTCAATGTGCTGCTTATGGGATCATGGGGTGCATCAATTACAACCCTTTAATAGCATTAGGGCAGTTAGAGTTTCAACAGAGAATACCCTCTAAGCAAGAAGTGAACTTATACATCTTATCTATAGAAAAAAGTGATACCAAAGTATTATGCCAAAAAATCTGGGAAGCCTAAAGTAGGATAATGTACAAAGAAAGTACTAGGCTTAGGATACAAGAAATAGATATAGCCTAAGACTATAAGATTTGGCTCTGAAAAAGAATTGAAGGAACTAGTCCTATTTATGCTCCTCAACATCCTTTATTAGGAAGCCATGAACAAAGACTCTTATTAGCAAAAAAGAGAGAGAAAGTTAGAAAAACTTATTATATAAGAAAGAAAAGTTAATTCGACTTATTTTATTGATATTGGTGTAATCTATAAATTTCTAGATGATTTTTTCTCTCTCTCTTTTTTTTTTTTATATAAGCAAACTACTTTTTGCTATGCATGTTATAATTTAAAATTTTGACCTATGTGAATAGAGTTAGGAAGAGAGTTGTTACTTAAATATTTTTTTATATACAAAATAAAAATAATTACTTGTATAAAAAATCAAAATAATAACAATGTAAGATTTATATAAATAACTAAATGAGTTTTGTGCAATTGATTTAATACTTTTGTATTCTTGCTTAATATTTAGTATAATATATTTAAAAAGTTAAATAGATTATTTTCTTAAATTCAACCACTCAATTTTTTCTTTGCATTTAGTATAACAGATTTTTTTTAATTTTAATATATGTATATTCTCATCCGTCCGAGAAAACTAATATTTACTGTATTATGTATGTAAAAGATGGAGGATAAGTTTTATTTAATTGGATCACTTAATTTTTTGTTATTAGTTTATTTATTATTATTTTATATAAGATGATATTCAAATATAACTTAAATCGCTAAGTGATTGAAATCTCATTCAAGATAAATAAAATTATAAGAAAATAAGAAAAGAAGCTTCAGTTGCCACCCACCCATAAAAAAGAAAAAAGAAAGTAAAAGTAAAATAGATTTTTTTTTAGCATCTATAGATTGTAATTGGATTGAGTGGAATAAATTCAAGATCTCTCATGAAAATTGAAATATCTTACATTCAAATATTATGTATGAAAAAATTATGTTAGGATAACTATATTCAAATTCTATTCAAAATTTTATGATACTTAAATTTAAATTAATTTTTAGAATTAGATACTTTTTATATAAAAAATTAAAAATAAATTTTTAGTTATTCCTTGATTTAGTGTTAAATTGGCTCGTTGGTTTTTAGCTGTCATATTATCTTTTGATTAATTTGGTTAGTTTTGAACCATTTCTTTTTTACCTGGACCAGATTTGAGAGTCATAGAGTAGATTCTTAAGCTAATTCATGGAAAACCTACCTCAATCTAAATTCATCATGAATGTTCATGAGACAAAGAGTAATTATTACCATTATTATTGTAATAAAAATAAGTACACAAACTCAATAGCTCATATCTGTAGCCATTAATTGATTCTATATCTAAATTGAATGAATACTTATTAAAACGATTGAAATCTGTATATTAGTCGCCCTTGATTTTTCACATACCATACCTATTGTTCTAATGGAAATCTCAAAAAAAAAATAAAAATTTCAAAATCTAAAATTATAAATGATAACAAAAACGTGTTTATTATTTATTTTTAAATATTAGGCTGATTTGAAAATTTAAAATTTAAAAGTATTTTTTGAGATTTTTTTGTTCTAATTTTCTTTATAATATAACGCCAACCATTTTTTCCCTTAACCTTCAATAGCGTAAACCCGATTGTTTGCCTTTATGATGATTTTAGCACACTCGATTTATGAAAAGAGCTTAACATATCAAATCATCATGTGTGCCAACATGGGATTTGAAAATACAGCTGAGGAAAGAAACAAAGCATCCAAAGCATTAAATAGAGAATCCATAGGGAAATCTGAAATGGAGGAGCTTCTTAAATCTCATTTACAGCTAATTATAAGTGAGGAAGCGTTAGAATCTCAAGTCTTTATGAGCAGATTAAACAAAAATATGCCCCACCGAACGCACGTCACTGCCCTCGAAACCGTGATTATCCACCTATCATCTATATAAACGCATATTGCTTTTCATGAATACCAGTGTGGGAGCTGAGACATGGAGAGCAGGGAAGCAGCCCCGATCTATGGGTGCAAAGACGACATTCTTCCAACATTCTGGGCAGACTACCAGCCTCAACCCTCGCAAATGCCGCTTGTGTCAGCAAAACTTGGCATCGAATCTGCTCTCATTTCCTCTCACGTCCCATGCTTGCTCGGCTCTTTCATTGAATCCTTCTCTTCTTGTAAGTTCTTCTGCTACTCCTACTTACCCTTCTGTTCACTTCACCTTATTTACGGTCGATCTCTTTTGATATTGATTTGCAGGGGGCGTTGAAGAGGTCACTGAGAAGGTTCTGAGCAAGCCAATTGTCCACACTTTGCCATAGCTTGCATCAGTGAACAATTCGGCTTAAGAGCCGCTCACCTTCTTGTATTATACTTCTAATATCTCATTTCTGTTTCGATTTCTGCATAATTTACGCAGTTACTAATGACTTGACTTTGTGAGCACAGTTGAGTCAAAGGCTGGGAAGCAGGACTCCTTTAGTCACTCACATTGGGAATGGAGTGATGGGAACGGAAGCTCTCACAAATCAACTTCG